AGAACAACAACACCTATGGAAGTAACCCCACCTTAATGCAACCAAATAAATTCCTACTCTACGCGCCATACATCTTTCACCATTAACAATTCAAGTCATTCCATGATTCTCATTCACCCATAAAGCATGCCATAACCTTTATTAAAATTTCTTTTACTCGAGCCATCCTCGATCTCAACCCCCGCAAGCCACAACTATTTCCCTAATATACCTCAAACTAAAACAAATACAACACATAACCGTGCAATCAACTAATCAATAGCGGACTCCCCCACTTGACTCAAAGCCATAGGTCAAAACACGTAGAGCTCACAATGTCCATACTCTGCTACTGCCATAATACATGGTGAGGTTAAACTAAATCTTTCATAAGTTCGTGCAACACAAACCATCTATTACTTCAAATCATCTGCAAATCTCACATTTATCCTCGTAACAGTCAAGACAACTCTCACATTCGATCCAAACTCAAACTGCAACGCATATAATTCACTGGTAAAAAGGACTTTTGACAAACAACATAGGAATCACACCACTTCAGAACACTCTGCAGGAGATAACCCACCTGCTCCGCCTTAAACTAACTTCTCTTTATACCCTTCCACTGCCATAAACATCACTCAACCACCAAATTTTCCTGAGTCTGAACTCAAATCGCGATATAAAATCCACCTCACTCCCTAAATAACAACATGAAAAGATCCTTCAATACACCCTAACTCGGGCTATACATCAAATCAGGATAGAAATCAAGCACCAAATAGTTCTTTCTACCCTTTAGCAGACCCTTCTCGTCTCATTCAAATCATATGAACACATCTTGCAGTCACATCATACTTATCACATAGCTATCTGGTCATCACTTCCACTAATAAAGGCACTACCAAAAATATAAATCCAGAATCACGTGCCCATACAATCAACACCTCAACGCTCAAGCTATGGGCAAAACCCGGCCTCAAGTCCTCCAAACTAGCCCAACATCAACACACAGAAATCACATCTCACACTTTGATCATGGAATCACAAGCCATCAATGCACTGATACCGAACACTCATGTGCGTATATGAACGCGTGGAAGGAATTCAAAGAGTTACATTTCAACCTGAATCAATGTCGCATGATAGGAATTCAAGAATGTGAGATTTCCTAAAGGTTCTGCAGCCTATTGAAGATAAGTACAAACATCTCTGTACTAATCTGCAAGACTATACTAAACCTGCTCATGACTCGTGACACCTATGTAACCTAGACTCTGATACCAACTTGTCACGGTCCAATACCTGACCCATCGTGATGACGCCTATCGTGAAATTGGCTAGCCTCAACTCAACAATCAACATGATAATAATAAGTTTTAAAACATTAACGGAAGCTTTTAACAGTTAAAGAACTATTTGAAACATAAGAAATTTCAAGAATAAATACAATCCAGCCCAAAACCGGGGTGTCACTGAGTGCATGAGCGTCTAAGGAAAATACATAGTCTAATATAATATCTAAGGGAACAACTGAAATACAACTGAAAAGTAAGGTGGAGATCCATAGCATACGAATGCCATGCAGATACCTTAATAATCTCCTACGTTAGAAGCCTCGATCAACCACTGCCATTGGATCAAAGTGCCTGAATCTGCATACGAGGTGCAGGGAGTAACGTGAGTACACCAACTCAGTAAGTAACAAGTCCAACCTTTGGACAGATAGGTAGTGATGAACTTAACCTCGTCAAAGGTAACAGAAATAATGTACAGAAACATAGGCATGCTTTCAGTTAACTAAATAGCTCGAGCAGTAAAACAGAGCAGGTAAATACAGGATAAAGAAGTGTAACACTTCTACGTATACATGCTAATGCATATGCTATATGAAATGCACCATATTGCGTGCCTCATGTGCCCACAAATCTCAAATGCTTGTCCACTCAATACTGTATATGGCTCATACGGCCCGGGGAAGATCCATCCCGGAATATATACATCCCTGACAACAGTCACTTAGTACTGAGGAAGGCCATTCCAGCCTATGGACAAGATCCATCTCCAGATAATAACAATAGCAACCTCACAACCACTCGGTACTGTATATGGCTCACAAGGCCCAGGGAAGATCCATCCCAGAATATATACACATCACTGACAACCGTCATCCAATACCGAGGAAGGCAATTCCAGCCTATGAAGAAGATCCATCTCCAGATAATAAGTACTTCGGATAAGATCCATGTCCAGGGAAGATCTATCCCTCAATAATATCAACTGCTCTCACTGGAGGGGGATAAAGACTCCGGAGGGTCTCCTTTCAGCCCAAGCACTATAACAAGCCAACGACAGCATAATCAATATCCCGCTGCGGCGTGCAGCCCGATCCCATACTGTCACTCAATATTAGGATCTCGGCCTCACTCAGTCATCACTCTCCAGTCTCACACACACGGGCTCAAAATGCCATGATACTAGCCCGAAATAATGATATGATATGCTAATCAACAATAATCGAGACTGAGACATCATATAATATGCATGAACAAGACTGAGTACAAAATATCAATGAAGCTAATGATATGACAACAAGAAACGACCTCTCGGGTCTCAACAGTATCGGCGTGAAGCCTTAACATGATAATTACCATGATTTACAGTTCATTAACTTAGTCACAAAATCACAATACAGATATCAGTAGGAAAGAGCCACTAAGCAGTGCCATGGAATGATCCAGGACGCAATTCTCATGGTGCCTGCCCATACGCCCGTCACTTGGCATTTGTGTCACCTCAATAGTAATCATAAAACACATAGTTCGGGGTTTCGAACCCTCAGAACCAAGTTCGGAAGCGTTACTTACCTCAAGCCAAGCCAAACTTTAGCCCCCGATGCCCTTGCCTCTCGATTCGGCCTCCAAATGCTCTGACTCTAACCAAAATTAGTATATTATCACCAATATTCTAAAGGAATGAAACCCATACGAAAATTATCAATTTAGACCAAAAATCCCGAATTTGTGCAAACCCAGCCCCCGGGCCCACATCTCAGAATTCGATAAAAATCACATCACAAGAATCCTCATCCTCCCATGAGTCCATACACACCAAAGTCATCAAAATCGGACCCAAATGGCCCCTCAAATCCCCAATCAAAGCTCTCCAAAACTCAAGCCCTAATCCTTTAGCTTCACCCCAAATTCCCCACTAATTTCATGATTAGGTAGTGAAAAAATCATCACAAACACAATAAATAAGACCCAAGTAGCTTACCTCACTGAAACCCTTGGTTCCCTATTGAAATCACTACTTGGAGCTCCAAAATCGCACAAAAAGGATGAAGAAATGACCGAAAATCACGAAGGGGCCTTTTTATACATTCTTCCCAGCACTTTCGCACATGCGGCCCATTTCATGCACTTGCAGGGTGCTTCTGCGGTCAAGATTACCGCATCTGCGATTTCCACTTAAGTCACAAGGACCGCATCTGCACCCAGGCACCGCACCTGCGGTCCCGCAGATGCGTCTAAATAACCACATCTGTGGTTCTTCTCCTGAAGGCCAAACTCGCATCTGTCACACCTCCTTTTTTCTACCCGCCCGAGGGGGTATATAAGAGAGTTTTTTCAATTAAAGTGACATAATTCAAAATAGTATTATTTTATTTATTTTTATCAAAGTCGCCACTTGAAATTGTTTATTTGGTGTCCCAAGTCACCGGTTTATTTTAAAATCCCAAATTGAGGAAATTTCGACTTTATTTTAAAAGTCTGCGAACCAGAAATTCTAAGTAAGGAATTCTGTTAACCCGGGAGAAGATGTTATGCATTCCTAGGTTCGGTGGTTCTAGCACGGTCACTTAAACTATTAATATTGGCATGTTATCTGATTTACTACATGTTTTAAATCTAGTGTGCATTTTTAGATTTTTAAAACACTTTTAATTATTTTATAGAATTATTCTAGAACAAGTTACGATTGTCGTACACTTGTTTGTTTGATACATATTATGAATCGTGTTACGGGAACCGTACCTACGATCTACAACATGTTTACTTTATTAGAGTTATTAGAAGTTGTGGCCGGGTCACATAAATGTACCCCTGAATTTGGAAATTAGGTATCACAACTACGTCACGGGAACCGTACCCGTAGCTATGATGATTTTATAATTGATCGCGCCTAAAGCAACTGGCACAGTTGAATTATTTTCCTAATCTCTGAGATTGTTGTGATGCCAAATTTATGGACAAGATATTACTACTAACGATTTTTTCTTTATCGACTAGAAAAAAATAAAACTTGGAGAAATATAAGACTTTTAAGAAAAAAAAGAAAAAAAAATGGATGAACATCAATCGTGAACCAAAAAGATGGGATAAGGAGATCAAATGGGCAATAGAGCAGATGGAAGGCAATGGAGCTAAGACAATGGTGTACAGGCTAGGTATGACTGGAGCAATGTATTACATATGGTTGGAAAGAAATAGGAGAATTTTTCAGAAGATTAAGAGAAGTAGTGATGCTATTACTAAACAAATAGTTAGAGACATTCATTGTATAGGTGATAGGAATAGTAGACTGAGTAATAGTATGCAAAAGCTCAACTATTATCCTTAGAGTAGGCATTGAAGAAGAGATGTTACTAAGTTTGGGGATGAATATCCAAACTTAGAGATATACGTGTATATATTTACGTGGAAATAAAATTAATTAACAAAAAAAAAATTATTATAGTACATGCACATTAATCAGGCAAAAGAAAAAAAATAATTTTTGACAAGAAAAGTATCAGTTTCTCCCATCCCAATCAAATATTAGCAAAAATAAAACTATAATTTTGAATTTAAACAGAAAGAAATATATCAAAGCTCTATCAAATGATTTATCAAATGATCAAGCAAAATTTGAGGTGCAACAAAAAGTAAAGGTAATTCTTTTATGAGAGAATAGATGCACGAAATTGATTATTCAATTAAAAGACTATATACATCACAATCGAAATAAAAACTAATTAAAATAATTTAAACGAAAACTTAAGACATGCTATTCAAACAACGTAGAATCCCAAATCAACATGCGCACCAAGCTATTATAACATAATGAAATGAGAATAAAAATTGAGAAATGGATCTTTTATTGACGAACAAAGCTGAAAATTGCAAATCAATCGGGCTAAACATAGCAACAATCCTTGGACTGAAACCCCGAAATTACAAATCGGAACCTCGAATCGACACCGGAAAACCTTCTAGAACTTGATGAAAAAATCCCACTCGGTCTCAGCAACAACCACAATAATCGCAATCACCACTGCATAACAACGGAAAATTCCATCAAATACGTTATATCCATTCTTAAAAGATCTCACGGCAGAGTAAACATTAACATCAAATTGATTAAGGGGAAAAGTTGTAGCTTCCAATTGATTCATCGGCTGACAACAAGAACGAGACTGCTGGGCTACCTTATAGGCTTATAGCATTAGTAAATGGGTTTGATTTATGTAGTTTTGCACTCACTATTTAATGCTAAATCTGGATCTATATCCTATTATTGTTCTTCTCCACGAAAAGAAGACCCCTCTTCTCCGATTTCGTTTCTTCGTTTACGTCATCCCTTGAAGATGCTGCGTTGCGCCAACTTTTTCTTTTGTTCCTCTAGGGATTTTTTGGTCTTAGCTAAGTCTAGGTCTAGGTACCCTTGATTTTTAGGAGTTAGTATTATTTTATAGGGGTAGGAACTAGATTAGATTAAATGGGGAATGAGTATGAGCTCAATGTTTTGGGTTTGAAGGGATTTGAGTCATGAATTTGGGCTAATTAACTTTGGGGTAGGAAGACTAAATCAAAATTTCTTTTTTCATTTTTCTTTTTCTCTTATTTTATAATCTAATAAAATCCTAAATTAATCCTAAATCAATTTAATTTGTAAAAATTAAATTTTTTTATCTATTAAAACAACTAATTAACTTAAAACTAAATAAAAAAACTACTTTCTAAAGACTAAAATCTAAATATGTAAAAATGACCATTTTTGTGTTTTTTCTTAATAAAATTAATTCCTACATGCAAATTGGACCTAAGATGACATGAAATTAAAACGTGACATTTTTTTTTATCATTTTTCTATGATTTTAAAATACTAAAAATGCATGAAATGCAACTAAATAAAGAAAAGCTTCTAAAATCCCTTAAAAGTCATTTTTGGTTTATTTTTAGGAGTTATTTTCATGTAGGGCAAAAATTAGGTGCTCACAGCTGCCCCTCTTTGCTCGGAAACATAAATAGTTTTTGGGCAAAGATAAAGTGAGCAATTATGTGAGGTTCCGTCGAGGCTCCAGTCCGCGGTCCTGTTATTACATCAAAATCAAAATGAAAAAGACTAACTAAACCTATCAGCTACGAGTTACAAGATTCTTATCTATAAATCTTCTGAAGCTTGATCTTGAGTCTTGGATGGTTCTTCCTGCAGACTCTAATCTGAATCTTGATGCTCGTTAGCTGCAACCGCTGGTTCATTCTTCTTAAGTTTTTTGGATCAAGGCGGGACATGCAAAGCTTGCGACGTCAATCATATCTTGAGCAGTCTGCATCTTTTCTCCGCTTCTGCACCTTGAGTTCAAATTATTTTCTTGTTTCTTCTTTTCTTTTATTTGGGTTGAGACTTCATCTTTTGGTCATCTCGAACCTTGTGCCTCACGGTGAAAACATGTTCAGGCACCAAAGCAAACAAATGAACGAAATTTTCTGCCCCAGTTTTCACTAGGAAAATTTCATGAGCTATTTGTAACAAAAAAACTAAACTATTTCTTTATTGTAAAATCAGGATTGTGTATCCTTGGGAAAAAGAGATTAGGGAGTGGAGCCCTATATCTATAATGAAATCAACCAGGGAGTGAAAACCCTATGTCGGAAAAGTGACTAGGGTGTGAGACCCTATGTCTAAAATAAACTCAACTAGGGAGTGGAGACCCTATGTTAGAAAGGCGACTAGAGAGTGGAGACCCTAAGTGGAGACCCTATGTTGGAAAAGCGACTAGGGAGTGGAGATCCTATGTCCAAAATAAAATCAACTAGGGAGTGGCGACCCTATGTTGGAAAGACGATTAGGGAGTGGAGACCCTATGTCTAAAAATAAACTCAACTAGGGAGTGGAGACCCTATGTTAGAAAGGCGACTAGAGAGTGGAGACCCTAAGTGGAGACCCTATGTTGGAAAAGCGACTAGGGAGTGGAGATCCTATGTCCAAAATAAAATCAACTAGGGAGTGGCGACCCTATGTTGGAAAGACGATTAGGGAGTGGAGACCCTATGTCTAAAAATAAACTCAACTAGGGAGTGGAGACCCTATATTGGAAAGGCGACTAGGGAATGGAGACCCTATGTCAAAAATGAACTCAACTAGGGAGTGAAGACCCTATGTTGGAAAGGCGACTAGAAAGTGGAGACCCTATATCTAAAATAAAATCAACTAAGGAGTGGAGACCCTATGTTGGAAAGGCGAATAGGGAGTGGAGACCCTATGTCTAAAATAAAATCAACTAGGGAGTGGAGACCTTATGTTGGAAAAACGACTAGGGAGTGGAGACCCTATATCTAAAATAAAATCAATTAGGGAGTGGAGACCCTATGTTGGAAAAGAGACTAGGGAGTGGAGAATCTATGTCTAAAACAAATGTTGGAAAAACGACTAGGGAGTGGAGACACTATGTCTAAAATAAATTCAACTAGGGAGTGGAGACCCTATGTTGGAAAAGCGACTAGGGAGTGGAGACCCTATGCCTAAAATAAATTCAACCAGGGAGTGGAGACCATATGTTGAAAAGACGACTAGGGAGTGGAGACCCTATGTCTAAAACAAACTCAACTAGGGAGTGGAGACCCTATATTGGAAAAGAGATCAGGAAGTGGAGGCCCTATGCCTAAAATAAACTCAACTAGGGAGTGGAGACCCTATATTGGAAAAGAGATCAGGAAGTGGAGGCCCTATGCCTAAAATAAACTCAACTAGGGAGTGGAGACCCTATGTTGGGAAAATGACTAGGGAGTGGTGACCTTATGTCTAAAATAAATTCAACTAGGGAGTGAAGACCCTATGTTGGAAAAACGACTAGGGAGTGGAGACCTTATGTTTAAAATAAATTCAACTAGGGAGTGGAAACCCTATGTTGGAAAATCGACTAGGGAGTGGAGACCCTTAGCGCATTAATCAGGCAAAAGAAAAAAACTAATTAAAACAATTGATTATTCAATTAAAAGACTATATACATCACAATCGAAATAAAAACTAATTAAAACAATTTAAACAAAAACTTAAGACATGCTATTCAAACAACGTAGAATCCTAAATCAACACGCGCACCAAGTGTTGATACCCAATTTTTTCCTATATAGTTTTCAATATGCAAATACCTTTAAAATAGCATATGTACGCATATATAAGTATGTCCAAATATTTTATTATTTTTTTCTTAATTTTTAAAGGTTTTTAAATTAATTTATTTCCCCATTTTATCCATAAAAATCCAATAATTATTTTCAAAATTATTATTTTTGGTAATTCATTTATTTGATTTTCACATTTATGCTAAAATATAGCTAATATAATTTTTTCATATTTTTACAAATGTATTTAGTATTTTTAAAGGCTAAATTGCATAATTGCACTATTAGCCTCTTTTAGGATTTAATTGCGTTTATATTCATAAAAATTAAGTCCAGTATTTTTAAATTGATAATTATATGTTACAAACTATTTTAGTACTTTCAATATATTTTCAAAAATTAATTTACTATTTTTATAATTTAAAAAAGGGAAAATTGGATATTTAAACAATAGCCCAATTTCATTTCAATTGTAGCCTAATTTGAACCCCAAATCAGACCCAATTCCCCGGGCCCAATTTTTTTTAAACCCGACCCCTAACCCAACTAAACTGACCCAACCCAGATCCCTATCGAACCCCTTTAATCCTAGCCATTGATAATTTAGATCAACGACCACTATATGCCCTTTCCTTTTTTAACCCCAAACGACCCCTAAACCTATCTCGTTTCTCACCTACCGCCGCCTTTGAATCCCTCTTCTCTCTCAACTCTCTCTGAAACTCCTATAAACCCTAGCCACCTCCATCAAACCAAACCCTAATCCACCTTGATACCTACCTAATCCATGGCCTTCCGTGGTCATTTGAGACCTGTACCAGCCTTCTATGGCTCCTATGTGTTTGGTTCTATGGTTTCACGACCAGACTTTGAAGGAGTTTGGTCCAGTCCTTGCTCGACTGGTGTTCATGGCCTTTCTCCGACCATCCACGACCTTTCCTGGCCATTCATGGCCTTTCAAGGCGGGTCCTTAGGATTTTCTGGTTAGATCGTTAACTTTCGAGATCTTTCTCATTTTCTTTTGGGTTTTTTGAAACCCTAATCTCTAAGATTCGATTTCTTTCAGATCTACCTTAGATCTGTGCTTACCATGAACTTTTAAGCATTTTTCTCGAAGGTTCTTCAACGCTGTTTTCAAAACGACTCTTCATTATTCTGATTAGGGTTTTCCTTTAAGTTATTTCAAAAATCTTTTCTCTGATTCTCGATGTTGTTTATGAGTTTATTATGTTCGAACTGCTTGTTATGCTTTCCTTCCACTTGAGTCAGCATGTTGAAAACCCTAATTTCTTTTGGGTCTAATTCGAATCCTGAAGTTGTTTGTTTAAATGTATACTTGTTAATGTAAGTTCCTCGTTCTTGTTTGATTTGTTTGTGGTACCATTTTAAAACTCGATTATTGTTGAAAAGCCCTAGGTCTTTGGGGCTGAAATTATTTGTTTGAGTACTTGACTCGACTGAAAGCTTTTGTTTTAGACTTTCTTTTCTTTATGTGACTGATCTGATTCTGAGTTTTACTATCTTTCTAACTCAACTTTTGTCGAAAACCCTAACTTTTCAAGAGGTTTCCTCACAGACTTTCTTTTCTTTATGTGACTGATCTGATTCTGAGTTTTACTATCTTTCTAACTCAACTTTTGTCGAAAACCCTAACTTTTCAAGAGGTTTCCTCACCTGCTACTGTGAGACCTTTGCATGTTTCTGATACTTTGTTTTCTTCACTGTTTAATTCAATGTGACTTGACCTACTTGATTACTATGCTTCGAATATTTGCTTTACCACTGAACCCTAGCTTATTTCTGCCACTACTGCATGCTTGTGATTATCTCTTTTGCCAATGTGCTTGGCCTCGCATGTCTAATAACCCTGCTCACTTTACTTATATACTGAAGTGCATAAGCATGTTTCTTCTTTGATTGATCTTAATCGTGTGACTGATTTCAAAAACTTTTCTTTTATGAACTCTAATTTCACTCGCCTGTTAAAGTTAATTGATTCCTTTCCTTATTTTGCCTTACTGAATCTTTTCCCAAAATAAGCATATTTCTGTGCTTAGACTTAATTACTTACTCAATGCTTTTACTACTCCTTTTATGACAATAATCAGTTTGTCTCTAAATTGATCTTCTTTCCTTATTTTGAATCTGTCATTACCTGTTAAACAGTGACTCCTTAATTAAAAAGAGTCACTTGTGTAATTGATTCTGACTTATGATTGTTTCCATGTTTGTGGTAGAACTTTACTTATTACCTTATTCCTCATCCATTTTCAAAACTATAAATACCCTGCACCACTCT